ACTAGGTTCATTTATTGAAAAAGTACAGTTACCATAACGGTATACAGAAATTTAACAACAAATAGCCTACCTGTAATCCAGGCTAAATTCCAGTGACAAAAACGTAGCAAACATAGCAAAAAACTGAAGTTCGAGTCAAGAACAAGGCGATGACCAGGTTACCGTAGAGATGGCTTGGATTCGTTAGCAAACATTGCCCCCCTGTGGTACTTGTATGTTACTACCACAAGTATAATGTTGAGGTATGCCCAGAAAAAACGTTTATAGCCCCGGCCTGTATTAGAGACCGGCCATTATTTACCTCCTCTGGCAGCGAGACCGGCCAATGTTAGAGCCCCGGCCGCTAATGGAATACAGGCCGATGTTAGAGAATTTACGGTAATTACAATCCATTATTTTTTGGGGGATTTTTTCATTAATTTCATCAATTTTATGGGATTTCGGTGTAACAATCAACATATACCGAATCGAACCGAACCGAACACCGTGACCACGAAACCGTGAATCGAACCGAACCGTGGATTTTGTGAACCATTCCTCCCCTACTCTCTGAACAACACAGATCCGATTTTTTTCCTCTGCGACTAAAGCCGCTTGGCTCTGTGGTCCTGAATCCGATTTGATTCTGATCTTTTCAAATGTGACCTGTGTCTGAACGGCCAGGCCGCATCATCCGACCTGAACGCCATTAATACCCGACAAAGGTCACTATTCTGTGTCTTGCTACGCAGAAGCAGCAAGAAAAACAACAGCCGTGACAGACCATGATACAGAGAGCAGTGTTTATGTTTAACCATCTTGAAAGGATTGTGTTTTTATGAATGGGAAAGATCGCTAGATGCGCTCCGACACTACCATCCATGTTTACCTCCATAAACACAGAGAACGCTGGCCTGTGATGTCATTGCGTCCTCTACTGCGCATGTGGGGCACTTCATTGAATGACTGCAGTTCACACAGGAGATCACATACAAGTTACATAGATTTGAAAACGGGAACGGCAAGGCAAAAAAAAAAAAATCGAATTTGAGCATCAAGGCCTGCAGTGTGAACGTAGCTTTAGTGACTCTTACTGATACTCTTTATGTTTATAGAGTGTTTTAGAGCTGGCAGTTTCTTTTGGTTTTATATTCCTGTATATTTTCATCCATACTCTGTCCACTGGCATATTCTGGAAACTTTTAATTTACCAGCTGTATGTTTTTGCAGGGTGCGGTGTCTGGCTCAGTGCAAGCCTCAGATCGCTTAATGAAGGAACTCAGGGAGATCTACAGGTCACAGAGTTACAAGACGGGTAAAGACGGGGATCATTCTCTTAAGCTCCTGTCACACCTTGACTATTTAGACCATCGCATGCCTGACGTACGAAAAGTCTGACTAAAACGCTGGCGTACGTTGGATAAGTTATGGGTACGTTGTGTATAAGTTATGAGCACGCTGGCA